CCACAGCTGGCATCTGCAGCTGTGCCCCAGCCCTGCACGGGGCTCCAGCACAGCTAATTATTAATAGAGCACTGCCCGTAGCAAACATCAGGCCTGGAGGATTTGTGCAATCTGGCGAAGCTCCGGGACTGCTCCCCCAGAACTCTCGTGCTCCAATAACCAAAATGGGCCGTTTGACTGCATTAAAAAGGACAACAGAAGGCATTTTCTGTTCTCATTGGGCACGGAAGTCTGAGGCCATTGAAGCAAGGAGGGGCTCTCGGTGGTTTCCTCATCAGGATTTTGGACAGCCAAAGGCACCAGGATGTGCCCAACACAATTTAAGGACCTTCTGTGGTCACCTGTCAGGCTCAGACCCACTCACACCTCCCAGGGAATTCCCTTCCCAAGGTGAAACACAGCCTGCTCCAGCCCTGCTTCCCTCCAGCCAGAGGGTCCACACCAACCACCACAAGCTTTGGAGGGGGTTCATTCCCACAGATGGCCACAAGCATAAACGAATTCCAACAATCTTATGGAAAAAAAATAAAAAATATCAGAGTCAGTGAAAAAATAGGAATTACCTAGATGCAGTTTTGGCTGGGAGAGTACTTGCCTTGCTGACTGGGAGGCACTGGGAGCCACAGGAAGGGCTGCTCTGTACACTTTGGGTTTTTTCCCTTTGCATTTCCAGCCCCGACCATCGAGCAGCAAAGTTAAATGGATGTTTGCTCTGACAGCACAGCCATCCCTACACTGTTACTGCCAGCAAACAAACAAAACATGATGCACAGCTACAGCTTAAAACCCCTGCAAAAATAAAAAAATATCTCTTCTTCCAAGCCTAGAGGGATGCTGTACTTTGTATTTTGGAACTGCTCGCAAGAGGAAGGAAATGAAAGTGGGTTCATCAAATCCTCAAGGCTATTCCAAACATTCTAATTGCCTGTCTTCTCTGTTCTGCAGAAACTGCTAAAACAGCTCACCCCAGCCCCTGTCTCTGGTCTGTTATTCTCTGTGTGCACACACACTGCTGTATCTCACTGCTGCTGCTGCTGAGGAAAACTGACATTTTTGCTTCTGGGCAGATAAGACTCCCCAGAGTACAAGGCACAGCAGCAACCTCCACTTCTGTAACCAAAAATTTCAGACATAAACAGATAAGAATTTTAATATCCCGCAAATGCAGCCATTAGCAGCTTTTCTTAATAAAATTATAAAATGATGAGAGAGCCTTAGGCGATGTGGATGCACCCAGTACTTCATTACACACATGAATCTCAGTCATTATTTAAAGACAACCCACCAGAGCCCGTGGAAAGCCCCACAGCTGTGTACCAATACTGCTTGTGTACCAGCCTGCAAGTGTCCCAAAGCACCCCTAAACCCAGCAGAGAGCAGCCTGACCCATGGCCAGCAGCACCTCCTGAATGGAATGGGAGCTCTGCTGCTTGTAGCTGATGTTCACGGGACACAGGGATTGAATGGGACCACAGATAGTTTGCCAGCCTCATTTCCCACTAGTCAATACATTGCCTGCTAATCACATTTACAGCTTCAGAGCAAGAGCACAAATACAATGCTGCAACAATTTTCTCAAAACCTGTCAATCTCCCACTCAAAATACCTTAGTTTTTCCTGGGCCTGTTTCATACACTTGTGGGCAATTTTCAACTTGCTCTGGTGCCAAGTTCTCCCATCAGCTCCAATAAGCCTTTTCCTCTCTGAGCTTTCCCTTTGCAATGCACTCAGAGCCAGCAGTCACATCCCCTCTCAATCTTTGATTTCCCAAACTAAACAAGCCTGACTCCTTTCATCTTCCCTTCTGTACCTTCTCCCTGTTCCTGAGCTCCCCCTGCTCAAACTCTGCTGCCCAGAACTGCATTGGGCTGGGCCTTGTGGCACCAACACCTTCATCTTACTCCTGAGTGCTCAAAATTTCATCCTCCTTCAGCTGATCACAGAACCAGAGTGCTTTGGCTTGGAAGGGACCCTAAACTCACCTTGTTCCACCCCTGCATGGGCAGGGGCACCTTCCACTGCCCCAGGGTGCACCAGAGGTGGTGGCTGCCCCTGGATCCCTGGAAGTGTCCAAGGCCAGGTTGGAGCACCCTGGGGAAGTGTTCCAGGGATGTGACATCCCACACTAATGGGATTCTGCAGGGGCACTGCACTGCAACAGGGCTGCAGGCTCAGCCGGCTGCTTCTGCTGCAAACTGAGCCTCTGAGCCTTTTTTCCTTTTGGTTTTACTGGGGAGGTTTGGTTTTGTTGGTGGTCTTTTGGGTTTTTGGTTTTTTACATTAAACAATTAAACCACTCCCAATAGAGCTTCAGCATTTTTATTAATGCAGTCCACGAGTTCTTGCCTTTGAACTCCTCAGCAGCAGGTGAACAAATGGAACCCCATCTGCTCAGGTGCTTAAACTAATGCAGGTGCCACAAGGGTGTGAAGAAAACACCAGAGATGAGCACAGCCGGGCAGCAAAATTCCTCTTGTGCACCTCTGCTGACACTTCCAGTTCTCCTAAAGATCCTCCAGTGCTTTTTGAGAACACCAACTGGCCCTGTGGGGTGTTTTTACCTGGGCTGCCCCAAGGCGCTGCAGCTCCTCCAGCTCACAGGTTCAGTTCCAGACAATCACCCCAGACAGCCCTGGTGCCACTGACTGCCCCACTGCTCCCAGGGAGGGTGCATTGGTTAATGTGAGCAGCCCGAATTACCAGCACAGCCCTGGAGCCTGAATTATCAGCACTCCAGCCTCTCTGGAGCTCCAGAACACCATGCCAGTTCCTGGGACATCACACATCCTTACCCGTGCTGTGGGACTGTCACCTCTGTCACTGTCCAGGGGGAATTCAGCCCCTCCATACACTCAGAGGGAAAGGAACTGTCCTGCAGCGTCTTGCTTAGGTTAAAGGAGACAAATGGGAAGCCCTGGTGGATTCTCTCAGGGAAAAATAGTTAATCTTTTCTGATCATCAATCAAAGACAGATAAATTAGGCCATGAAATCTTTCTGGTCGAGGATTCCTGCTAATTATGCCCTGGGCTGCAGATGATTATCACTTTGCAGACTCATCCCTCAATAGCTGTTCATGGATTGCTGGACTCTGTGTGATGGATCATTATCCAGCCTGTGCACCATTAGCAGGATAAAGGCGAGGTGCTGCTCTGAGCTGAAACACACCTCAGGCCTCAGGGCACGGACCAGGCTCCTCTTTCACGGCTCTGGAGCGGCAGAGCTGCAAATCCACACCCCTGTGCCTGTTCCAGTCCCACACTGGTGCAGGAAAGCAGGGATTAACAGGCATCCACCAAAACACTGCCACAGTGCTCACTGGGTGAGCACGTCCCTTCCACAGGGTCAGAGGGAGCTCTGAAGGAACACGATCCCACCAAAACCAGTGGGACCACACGAGCGGCCTGATAAATGCCAGGAACAAATTCATTTCATTGGAGAAGCAGAGTGGTTCTGCCTGGAGATGACAGCACTCTCCCGCTAACACGAGTCCCAAGTGCAGCACACACATGAATTAATGTGACAACACCACTGTCAGGCTTACTTACAGAAAGTTATTAACATTCTTCTGGTGTCCCAAATAGGACTAGAAATGCTCGTGGGCAAGCAAAAAACAGTACAGGGTAAAATGGGGCTCTCTCTGAGAGCTGGCTTTCATTAGGAAGATTCACAGACTGACAAATGATTAATTCTCTCACTAAGCCATTAACTTCATCAATGGTGACATAACCACAGTGAAAAAAATGCAGATAGTTTGTTTTACAGTGGGCTGCAAACCTCTCCAGTCCTGACAAACACACTGAAAATGGAGCTGTATGCTCTCTAAGGAAAAAAAAATCACCTTTGCTTTGAATGAGACGAGTATTTCTCTCTTTAATTCAAAGCCATTCCATGCCTCTGTTATTAATAGTGCCATAAATCTGCCCCAGTGATGGGGTTTAATTACTGACCTCAAAGGGAATAAAGAACACAATGTGTGGGGGACCGGTGGCACCGGGGGATCGGTCAGACCTCGCCCGGGGGATATCGGTGGGACTGGGGGGGGATCGGTTGGATCCAGCCCCGGCAGCACCGGGGGGGTTCAGGGGGACCCGGGGGACGGTCCGACACTGGCAGATCCAGCCGGGCAGCCCCGGGGGAACTCATCCCCGACCACACCGGAGGGCATCGGTGGTACTGGAGGAATCGGTCAGACCCAGCCCCGGCAGCCCCGATGTGGATCGGTCGGAGCCAGTACCGGAGGGATCGGTCGGATCGGGGGGGATCGGTCGGAGCCGGTGCCAGGGGGATCGGTCGGGCCGGGGCACATCGGTCGGAGCCGGTACCGGGGGGATCGGAGCCGGTACCGGGGCACATCGATCGGAGCCGGTACCGGGGGGATCGGTCGGGCCGGGGCGCATCGGCCGGAGCCGGTACCGGGGCACATCGATCGGAGCCGGTACCGGGGGGATCGGTCGGGCCGGGGCGCATCGGCCGGAGCCGGTACCGGGGGCGGCGGTCCCGGAGCGCCCCCTGGCGGCGGCGGCGCAGCCCCGCCGTTCCCCGGTCGCTGCCGGGGGTCCCGCACGCCCCGAGCGCCCCCCGAGCGGAGCGGGCACGGCCGGGGCTCGGCCCCGCTCTGCCCGGAGCAGCGTCCCCAGGGGATACCCCGGGATACAGAATGCCGGGCACCGCCGGCAGCAGGAAACACCGACCGCCAGAATGCAGAATAACCGTAACTGCAGGAAACACCGACAGCCGAATGCAGAGTAACCATAACTGCAGGAAACACCGACAGCCAAATGCAGAATAACCGTAACTGCAGGAAACACCGACAGCCGAATGCAGAATAACCGTAACTGCAGGAAACACCGACAGCCGAATGCAGAGTAACCGTAACTGCAGGAAACACCGACAGCCGAATGCAGAGTAACCGTAACTGCAGGAAACACCGACAGCCGAATGCAGAGTAACCGTAACTGCAGGAAACACCGACAGCCGAATGCAGAGTAACCCAACTCACCGTGGAACACGCCGTTGTCCGCTAGGAAGTGCCGGCAGTACTGCAGGCTGCTCTTCTTATCCAGACTCCAGTAACTCATCGTGAGGCAGATTCCCGCTCACCATCAAAGGCTCTGACCCTGCAAGGGAAACGAGAATGGGTAACTGCGGCTTAATTTACAAACAATGTCCCCAACTCCTGCTGCCACTGTAGTTATTTGAGCCCTTCATGCAAAACGTTCCATTGGCTTCACACAAAACAAAGGAAGTTCTTCACTCTCCAAACGTGTCCATCCCCACGGACACATCACCTGGATGGAGGCAGAGCTGTGCTGCACTGGTGCCACCAGCCAGCACCTCCCCGGGTGCTGCAGGGAGCAATGGGCACCTCTGTCACCTCTGTCACCACCCCCCGAGCCAGCCCAGGCCACTGTGGGGCCTGGAGACACGATCAATTTAATCCATTCAGTGATGCTGTCCCATATTTAACAGGCTACAGACACATCCCACAGCACCACAGGACTATAAATCCTCCCCAAGTGAAGGTTACAGTGATTAAAGAGGTGACTCAGAGGTAATCACCCCCTGACTTTGAGACCAGAGCAGAGTTAGGAGAACACAGGGCCCTGTGCCCTTGCCCTTGGCTGACATTGGCCCGAGGCACTCAGAAATCGCCCATGGATGGGCAGCTTGAGCCTGGGCAGGAGCACTTACATCAGCCACCCAAAATTAACACTGACGGCTGCAGGCGGACACACCAGCATTTCATACTTCTCTGAAGCCATGGAATTCCTAATCTCCTGTCCTGACACCAAATCCTTTCACTGGATCCTCCTTCTCCCTCTGCTATTTTATGAAGTTCAGGTTCTGGTTTCAGCACTCCAGACACCCCTTCCTGTTACAAGCCCACTTAGGTCTCCCATTTTATCTCCCTCCCACCTTCACTCTGGCCAACCCAGCTGCTTGCTCGCCCACACTTGGCACAAACAACTCCAACCGTCTTCATCCGAGCCATTCTAGCAGGATGTGAGGACACTGCCACCCAAATCTCCTCACTGAACCACTGCCAGGGGGCCTTAGTAACAAAGCCACCCCCAAATGCAGCCCCACAGCACATGAAGGGACACAGACCCATTTCATTCAAAACAACGAGGACAACAAATAACCTGAAATCCCAGCCAACAGGACTCCTCTGATCTTTAATGACCAATTTAGCCACAGTCCATTCCGGGGGTGCAGCCAGCTAACAAGGGAACAGAAGGACCCGGAGAACATTTCCCCTGTCCCTGTGCAGCCTCAGTGTCAATGCTGATGCTGATTTGAGAGCAATAGAGACCCACAGGGCAGTCCCAGTGTGACACCGCGCAGGAACAGCAGGGATGGGATGGGATGGGATGGGATGGGATGGGATGGGATGGGATGGGATGGGATGGGATGGGGTGGGATGGGATGGGGTGGGTGCTCTGCTGCAGGTGGGAGCCACAAACACCTGTGTGTGCTTTGCTCCATCCTAAAACGTCCCCAGGCTCCACCGAGGGTGTGTTTTGGGTATGTTGTTTACACTAAAGGCATGTTTTCCCAGCTTTGGAGGCCAAGCAGCAATACCCACTACCTATGCCTACATTTCCTGCTCTTTCACCCTCGCCACCCACCAGCTTTCCTTATAGCCTGCACGAAGGCCACTCTGCTTTACCTAGTTAGGCACAAGCTGTTGGTTACCTTTGAGGCACAGGAATAACACCACATCCAGCCTACAGCCAGGCTTTTCGCTTTAGGCTACAGGAGTCCAAGAGGCATGGTGCTTTAATTAAGGAAACCATATCAAATATTCACCCCCAAGAATTTGCACGCAATAGCAGCAGATCTTATCTCCCACACAGATCTCTCCCGTATCTCAGGGAGATTCACAGGGCGCTGTGGCTGTCCATCCCGCCCTGCAGTGCCTCTGAAAGAGCCCCTGAGCCCCCTGCCCTCCCTCTGTGACACAATCCTCCTTTGTTCTGGCACAAAGGTTCTCCCGGGCACATCGGGGATGAAGGCAGGCTCCCCGAGGGGCTGCATCAGCTGACACAAACATCCCGCAAGAAAACCTTCCCAAGAAACACCAGCGGTTCTCTGGATAGTGCTCAAAGTTATTTGCTTTACAGGGTTCCAGGAGAGCCCAGCCAAGATCATGCCTTACCCTACAGTACCAAAAAAACAGCAAACAAAATCCCAACCAACCCCACACTTGGGCCAGATACCATCGTTTCAAAGGAACACACACTTAGGAACTTAACTTATACAAATTTGCATCATTTCAATGCCGGAGAAAAAGAACATTCTGTCTATGCCACTGACTAAAATACAGGCTGTATCACTCGTATGTACCTGTATCACTTATTTTATACACGTAGAATAAACTATAAGAGTAAAAAGTGTCCATAAGTATATAATTAGGTTTAATTAGGACTGCAACAGCAAAACTATTTTGGCAAAAAGTTACCAAAATCCTGACGAGATATAAATCTGAGTTCAAAACCAGCTTGATAAAGCAGCCAATTCAGAGAGAGTTGAAAACACTCCTCACTTTTCCACTCTGCAGGTTTCTCAGCTTGGGGTATCATTTTCACAATAAGCAAATTCCTGCAGGTTCAGCCCTGAGCCTGCCAGATTCATTCCAAAAGGTAAAAGAGTTGGTGCTTCACTACCTGAGAGCAGAGATGCTAGTGCAGCGTGTCAGGAATCCGCCTATTTGTATCTGGATAAAGTGTATGAATCTGGAAGCTGAGCAAGGTGTCCATTACGTGCTGTGCAGAAACACAGCACCTGGAGAGAGCTGCATCTGCTATTTCAGCTGATTCATTTCCATTAAACCTGTCGGCTGCCTTATTTTTGTGCTTTGAGCACTGTGTTCCATGAGAGACACTTTTCCACAGGCTTTGATTAGTTGTACAGAGCTGTACTTCACAAGAGAGTTATTAATGGAAGGATACTTCCATTAATAACTTGAGCAGTATCAGTTAACTGGTATTGCTTGTTATTAATAGAAGTAAGCTGGTATTGCTCAAAGTTGGATACAAGGAATAAGTTAACTTTTAGGTTAACTTATATTCCTGTGTGCACACACGAATAAACAGTGCAGATACAGATGAGATGAATGGATATGATCCTCTTATGTGTACCTGCACACCACAGCTGCAGCACCAGGGATCACTCCTGAGGGCAGGGCAGGCATGGACACCGGCACTTCCCTCGGACCAAACCACAGCTCCACTTTCAGAGCTCAGATCTACCCAGTGAACACACATGGGAGGTATGACTTATAAAAAGCTGATTCTTTTCCTTCACCCCAAATGGTGTATAAAGTTCATGTTCCTGGTAATTAAAGGAAAGTCCGGAAAACACTGAATATTAAGCAGGCTACTGATTTTGGAAGCTTGTGCCCATTAATGACAAATTTCAGCATGAAAAATAGTTCAGAGATACTGGACTCTCCAATTGACATAAAGGCAAAGCATAACAAATTAATAATATTAATTTTTAAAAAGGTAAGAAATGAGAAGAGCAATCCAGAGTCACACAAAGGCCACCCCAAGTGTGTGGTGGAAACAATGCTGCGATGGAAATGATGCTGTGGTGGCCCAGCTATGGCCAGAGCCCTCTGATGAGCTTTGGAGATCTCAGTGTGGGAGGGAGCACAGACCATCTGGCTGGCACTGGGCAGCAGGAACAGAGTCCAGAGAGAAAGGCTGGGCTTTGGTGTGGCAGCTGGGACGGTGGTGGGGGCACGCAGCACCTCTGATGACACCACCTCGTGTGGGCAGCCACCTCCCAGCCGCTGCAAACAGAAAATAAACACCAAAGGACAAATGCCACTTTGAGCTTCCCCTGCAGAATCCTGAAGTGGTATTGAAAACCCAAGCAATTCAGCTTCACTGCAAACCTTCAGTGGTATTAGAAGGGAGGAAGTGAAGTGGTTTATCTTCAGTGTGAGAATAAGCAAGAGATTCGCTTGCTCTCCTCAGGAGCAGAGCGAGGGCTGCCCACAGGGGATCACTGGGTTTTCCCCACAGTTTCTTAGCTCGATGAAGAAATGTTCCCCACCAAGCTGTGCATCATTTGCCAAGGTGCCATCAGCCTCAGCACCTGGGCAAGCACACAGACATTTCTCCAGGACAAGCCCCAGAGCTCAGCTCTTGGTTACACTGGGATTAGGAATAACAGCACTGGCCAGAGGGAGAGAGGTTTGTTTGCATTTCTGTTCACACCACAACATGCACCCAGGGAACTCCATCCCTCCCCAGCTGCCTTTCCCTGGACCTTATTAAAACGCGCTGCAGGCTCCCTCCTGGTTAATCAGTAGCCACCAACAGGAACTTCCCAGTCCAGGTTTTTACTTTCTAACCAAAGTGACAACTCTGGTAGAACAGCTCTCAAACTTCAGAGACCAGTTCTGCACAACAGGGGCCGGGTTTTTTGAAACAGTACCCACAAGCCAAAGAAGTCCTTGGATGAAAAGCTTAGCCACAGTTAGACCTAAAAAGCACAAATCTGAAGAGATTATAAAAGCCTAATATGACAATATTCCATGGGGCATCCACCCATCTGCAGTCTTGGGCTTCTTATTCCACTAAGCCACTAAGAGTCACCCAAATATTGCTAAGCATTTAAGCTGGTCTAAATTCATGCAGATTTAGATTTAATTGTCACACAAGCCAGGCTCCAAGGGTTCCACACATCATCTGTGCAAATCTCCACTTCAATCAGAATCAAATATCATCATTCACTCAAAATAACTTGCATAAACATTGCTAAAGTTACACATATGGGAGCCAGGCAGAATAGGCAAGGCACACAAGATGGAAGAGCCATACTGCTGACTCAAAAATACATTTTTTCCAACAAATCGATATAATTTTCATACTTACAAAATTAAGTTTTACCTACCTACAGTATTAACTATGTCATTAATGCATGGATACTTTCAAGAGTTAAAATGTCTTGTATGAAACAAAAAGCTTAAAAAATATCCTCAGTGCTACAATCCCTTTTGAACAGCAAATATTTAACCATAAATATTTCCACCATGGAAAAAAACATCAGCAATGCTTAGCAGTAGAAAATAAAACCATCCAGTATGGGA